CTGACCGGCTTATGCCGGTCTCCTCTCCTAATCGCTCGCCAGCGGGACTGGAGTCCCAGGGCCAGCGGACACGGGTTGGGGCCACTGCTCCACCCACAGCGCGGAATGGTGGAGACAGAGTAGGCGTTGGAACTCACCCCCAACGCGGCGACCCAGCGCGATCACTGACTAGTTGGTGAACAAACGAACGGAAGGGTCGCAGCAGAGCGTCCCTGAGCCTGCTTTCTCGCCAGTCCTTCGGGCTGCGGTCTGATCTGCTCTGACGCCTGGAAGTGCGGCCTTCCTCCTGCTCCTGCTGGCGCTGCCTCCGCTCGGGGTTGCCGCCCCCGGCCCGCGGGCAGCACGCTGCCTCGCCCGCCAAGCGTGGTCCTTCCTGTCGGTCCGAAGGGGCAGCTCGGGTCCCAGGGCAGCTCCCCGTTGTTCCGACTGGGTGGTGGCGGTGGGGCCGCCTTCCTCACGCCACGTGGCTGCCGGGGGAAGGGGGCGCCACCACAGAGCCGGGGGTTCAGAGCATGGGTGCTGGGTGCCCGCTTCCCTCTCTGTACAAAGGGTTCTTCTTAAGTGTTGTCACAATCTTCAGCATTCTGAGTTGGGTGAATGCTTTTAGGTATTTCAGTTCTCATTAAAAATCAGTTTCTTTTGTAGAAATGCCCTGATCAGAAAGAGCTGGAGAGGAGAAAAGAAGAAAGGCTTATGGGGATTTGGTCCTAATTAATCTGACGCTCTCTAAAGGGTGGACATTTTTGTGGTGTTCTTTTTGGCAATAGATAGGTTTTCTTCATGAGTTTTGTCTTAAAGTACTACAGAAATTTAAAACTAAAAGAAAAATGAGTTTAAAGGGGTAAAGTATAATAGATGTAAACTTTAATATTTCTATTCTTTATGTACTTTTTAATTTTCAGTACCCATGAAACAATGTCATAAATGATACAGAGAATTAATGGGCAGTTTTGGAGAGTAATGCTGAGAAATAATAGGCATATTTTAACTTACTATGGCAAAAATCAGATGTTAAAGAAAAAAGTTGTGATATATTCAGTTTTTAAATTGTACTATTAAATGTGTAACTTCATGAGTAATAAATATTCATTTTTAATTTTAGGTGCCAGTGTAACATATACTAAAATAAAACGGAACAATTTCTATGGTTCTATAAAGCAGTCATAAATAATTATAGTAAAGCTTTTTTGAAATATTTTTATGGGACTAAAAATTGAAAACTTCTTAATAGGGAGATTTTCTAAAATGAGAAATGAGGTGAGTTAGTCAGAGAGACCTCAAACTGCAATATATCCCAGGGGAGCCCTGAATGAGCGGTAACTTCTTAAGATAACCTTATAAAATGTATGAAAATCAAGAGGTTTTGAAGAAGCTTTTAGAAGGTAGCAGGAAGAAAAAGGTATTATACTAAAATTTCTCATGAGAAGTTAATTATTTTGCATGCTTTTTCTGTTACTAGATAGAAATCTGAGTTTATGTGAGTCTGGAAGGGCCACGACTGTCTGGGATTGAAAATGAACCGGTGGAGCTGTTGTCTGCGGGGTGACACAGCTGTGGGAGGTGACAGGGAGGTGGCACAGCTCCTGCTGGGGCCTCAGGGCTCTTCTGGCGTTTTGAACACGAGCGCATAGGCTAAGGGACATTTCGGTGCTTAGACTGTTTTCCCCTCGAAGCATGATTCACCAGCCAAGGAAAAGACTACTTACCTTTTGGGGTTTTGTTTGTTTTTGTTTTTGTTTTCTAACGGGTTCTACCCTCCCCCCACCTCCTTAACTAGTGAAAAGCATACGGAACTGTGACAAGAGCAAAGGACACCACGGCGGCCGTTTGATTAAAGGCTGCTGGGATTTATGGAGCTTGTGTCTTTATTACTTTCCTCCTCCTTTTAAATAAGTAATGCAGTGAGTCTGTGTGTGGTGTGGTGGGCAGAGCTCCAGGCGACATGCGGGGAGACCTGGTCCTCCCTCTGGTGTGGCTACCTACTGTGTTACCTTGGACAAACAACTGAACCTCTCTGATCCTCAGTTTTCTCATTTCTAAGGAGAAGATTGGTGGGGCAAGTGTGTCTCAGAGAATCCTTTCCACAGTAGATTTGAGATATATGAGAAAGATTCAGGGATGATCAAAGGGTTTGTTGGCCCCTCTGGGACCAGGGGAGAGAGTGGCGGTAAAGACCGTCCAGCCCTGGTGTTAGTGATTACGGGAGAGTCGAGTTGAAGGGGCCAGCACTCTGCCCGCTGGCAACTTTTTTTCTACCCGTCAGTCTAGAAATCCATATGCGAAGCCTCCAGTGAGGCGCCCTGGGAGGTGGAGAAAATCACAGAGCATTCAGTCGCCCGGGGCCAGGCTTTGGGGGCCCAGCAGGATCGAGGAGCCCTGCCTTAAAGCAAAGGACCAGCCCTTCTAGAGTTACTTCTAACTCATCTTGGAGATTTTGAATTGTAACAAATCCTGGTTGCACACGTTCCAAAAGGCTGCCTTCCTCAGCACCAGGGTAGGTGCAGACGTGGAGTGCCTGAGCTCCCAGGCCAGCGCCCCGGGCCGGAGTGAGTGACGCGGCTCAGCCACCACCACCACCCTCTCGTCAGCCTGTGGGTTTGTCTTTGTCTTTCCAGATCTTCTTTTAACCTTTAAAAACACAAAACCAAAATCCTCTGGACATTCCTCTGAGATTGACGGAGTAAGTTAACGTGTGTCACACGTAGTTGTTCCGCGGAGGGGCCTCAGTTGACGCTGTCTTTTTTTCTCCAATGCAGAGCCATCACGCTGGAGAACCAGCTGGTGATCCTTGCGGCGACGGCCGGGGACGCGGGGGCCTACTACGTGCAGGCGGTCAACGAGAGGAACGGCGAGAACCGGACCAGCCCGCCCCTTCACCTGAGCGTAGCGCGTGAGTTCCTGGGCTCCCCGCGGGGCCCTGAAAGCCGGACCGGCCCCATTTAATTAGCAACCGCTGTCTCGTGGGGCAGTTTGCTATCAGTCTTACCGCTCGGGTAGAGGGGTTGTAGCTCAGCACTGCCCCAGCGTCCACAGGTGCCTTCTTAGAAGTGGTGGGAAAGGTGAACGCGTCTGGTAATTCTAAGTGCAAGATCGTATTCGTTTGGGGGATTAAAAAAAACACTTTTGCTTTTGTACACTGTGAGTGCGTATGGTTTTTAACAACGTATTTTGGCTTATAAGGAGCCGTATCCATGAAGCTTATTTGCAACTCCATCAAGCACAGGATATGTTCTTTTAGTTTAATGATGAAATCTTTGAGAAAAGATATATACCAAGTTGTGTTAAAATTAGGAGTATGTCGTTAGCATAACCAAAAGGCTGAATCGTGAGGAAAATATAATCACTGGTAAGTCTTCAGTTTATTTAAAAACATTTTAGTTGGAGAAAACTTAGTTTAAATATTTGGCCTTTGAAAGAAGGCTCCAGAAATTCTAATAGCAAGGGTTATACTGCTGGAGAAGGGGGAAGTGACCAGAGCAAGAACTCGGAGCTAAAGCAGATCCAAAGGAGGGCCTCAGGGGGCGTGTCACCAGGTGACTGCAGAGCCTCACGCTCTGTGGTATGAACTGCAGTGGTTATGCTGTTGAGAAAGTACAGCTGGGAAACGGTCATGGTAAACGTCAAAATGTTCTGATCAGGTCATACAAGGGGGAGTTAAATGGGTCTGTGTGTAGAGTAGATTTCACCTTTTTAGAAACACCTGTCAGGAATGGCTTTCCCCTTTGGGTGGTGGCAAAGTTTTGCTTCGTACGTGGGATGACCGTAGTGTTCGCTTCTCCTGGTCCTTGGGGGCTAAAAGAACTACTGGGTGGGTGAGGCAAGCACTGGGCGCAGGAGACGGTGGCATTAACCATGCTGTCACCTGCCCCTCCCATCCTGCCATCAGCTCCTTAACTCCGAGGAGTGGACTCCTGAGCCCCTGCCACGGCCTGGGTGCAGACTTGGCCGTCAGCGTGGCCTATGCAAAGCTTTGGCCGGTTACATCCATTGATTAGGTGTAGGGTTCACCAAATCCAGCGCAGACCCTCTGAATCAAGAATCACAGTAGGGGGGAAAATGTGATTTATGAAGTTTTTTTCAATATTAATAATAAAAGATGGAAATTGTATTATCAAATAGATTGTGTTAACTGCAACGATTTCCAGCTTTTACAGTTAGATTCGTTTATTCTGTTTAGCAAATTGGACTCAGTACTCAGTTGTAATGTACCTATGGGGATAATCGTGGGTCAAATTTGGAGGAATTCTGAGTCAGAAACAAGGAAATAGGCTTCAGTCTATCAGGAGAAGGGAACCATTCCACACATGCCCTGGTTAGCGTGATGCTGACATCATGATGGTATGAGACAGTCTGCACCTGATGATTTCCAATGTGCATGCTCCACAAAGGCCAGTAGAAAATGAAGCTAGTGCAGCGAATTTGCACGTTGCCGTGCTAATGCAATACCATGGGTTAGATAACCGGAATATGTAAATTTTTAAAATAATTTCATTGTCTCCTCTAACCAAGAAGCATCTTGGAAGCAGCTCATAAATATTATAATTAACTGCCTTGCGTTTTGTTCCCCTGTATATTTTTATCTTTGCATTGGCACCAGATAAAAATGCGTCAAAGGTGAGATAGAAGGATGGACTTATTTTAAATCATAGGAGAAAACCTGCGTTCTGTTCCCTTAGCTGTTCTGTGCTTTTTATGGGGACCAGGTAACATGTGAGAAGTAAAGGTGGGGGAAACGGCCTCATTTTAAATCTTGGGTGAACCTGACTGTCGACATACTGGGTTTACCTAAAAATTAAATGGCACATGCATGCGTCTTCTCAGTGAAAGTTCTATTTTAAAAACCTCTAAAGATCAGAAGTCTGGGTAAGTCTGCAGAAAGCCCCAGAATCGTATGTTTAAATGCTGCTCCTTCCTGGGCAGCAGCGGATGCTGAAGGGGGGAGACTGTAGTTCAGGGCTTCCCTGCCAGCATCAGCAAGGCTGTGAAATACAGAGGGTGCCTCAGCTCCCCTGATTTTTATGGAATTAGATATTCTCAAGACCCGTTCACTTCGTGTATGGTTAGTAGTTGAAAGTGGATACCTTATAAGGTAGTAAGGTGCAGTGTGTTTTGCAGACTTAGGTATCTTTTTTTTCTGATGTGGGCTTCGTAAAAACCCCAAACAAGACTGATGAAAAATTTTAAAAACTTGCCAGCCAGCATTTCTGAAGAATCTAAAGATATTACAGCCCATTTATCAGTTAACAAAAGATAAATTTTCCCTTGGCATCAGCAGAGCAAAGTGGGGAGCCTTTCTGTAGTGAGCACCATCAAGGAGGTAGGGCCTGGAAATTAAACTCCTGGTGGGTTGCACTGTAATTAATCTAAACGTGGAGAGTGCCATGTGGCCCACCTCTGTTTCCAGTCATAATAAACTGTTCCTCCTCCGAGCCAGCCTCGTGTCGAAGTGGCGTAGCACCCCAGGGCCGGCCCTGTCCCGAAACCATGCAGTGAGTGACGCACTGTCACCAGCTAACAGGAGGAAACAGATATTTTCCCAAACAACTGTGTACACGAGAGTTCAAAACCTCACCACCTTTTCAGGTGCAAAATATTTTGGCCCCACTTGAAGCTTATGAAAAGCAAAAGAGAAAGAAGGCTGAGATAAAAATAAATAAATTTTTAAAAAAGCATGACAATTAGAAGTGAAATGCAGCCCCACGCTGGTGCCGCCTGCTGGTCCATGCCCGCCTCGTAGATGGCGTCACTGTCTCCCAACATCCCCCCACACACATATGGTTAAGAAGGCAAGTGACAGAGTGTTCCGCACAGACGCTTCCTGCCGGGGAGGAGAGGACTTTCCTGAGCCATCCATCCTCTGGCTCCCAGTGAAAGCTTGCCGCCACCTCAGGGATGGGTTCACTTTGAAGTTTTAATGTGACGTGAAGCCAGCAGATGTTAAGGACATAGGTGGACTGTGGAAGCATCCAGCATGAATTTTTCATGGCTGGCCCCGCGGCTCAGGTGCACAGCAGAAAGAGAGCGGGCTGACCTCGCCCCAGAGCACGCATTTCCATTCTGAGGTCAGACCCAGGCAATCTTTCTAAACCTGTCAACGTGTTTTTGGTTTTCACTTTGAAGATTTTACTTTGAGTTAACTTGTGTGGATCAGATCTTTCAAACTGAATTAATATTGAATAAGAGTTTCTTTAAAAAAAAAGAGTTTAGGTTAGGGAGGAATTCTGCACGGCGATTAGCAGCCATTGTTTAAATGCCATTGTACCTACCGTGGACACAGCATCCGCTCCGACGGATCTTCCGAATGTCCGGCGTAATGAGATTCTCTGCCAGAGATGCCGCCTAGAGTGGGAAAGAAGCGACTGCCTCTCTCCTGCCTGCTTTTTCCTCGTCTTTCATTTTAACGTCTCTTCTTCAAACAGCACTTACAGCTAGGATATCATTTCAGCTGATCCTCCTTCAGGCTGGCAAACCCTTGCTTTAAACTCTGAAGACCACTTAACATTCCCTTGTCCTCTGTAATGCTAATGCAGCCGCAGACCTCGTGTACGGTTCCTTCATAGTTGAGAGTGGATCCCTGAGAATGGTGCCTAGGAACAGTCATCGGGGGACTGCCCTGTAAAACAGGGCTCCGTGTGCCCGGATCCGATTCCATCCTGTTTCCTTAAGGGGGGAGGGGGCTGGCATAAGCCCTCCGGTTGTTCTTTGACACGGATTGGATTCCCAAAGTCATAAGAACGGCTTGAAATGTTACTAAAAACCAGTCCACAAATGACCAAATTAGGATCCAGCTGTCACTTTATGGGTTAAGTGGTACTTTACTGCCAGGACTTTCAGAAACATTAACAGGAAGCATGCTTCCCGGTAGAGCCATGAGTTTACTCTGTCAGCACGTGCGGACCCGCCGAGAAGGGTGTGGAAGGAGGGGTGCCATGTGCTCGGCCCCGACCTCCTGGAGCTGGTCCTGGACAGAGCTGAGTCCAGGCTGTGGTCTCTGAAGCCTTGACCCCCACCCCTGATCTATGCCTCCTGAGCTGTCTGTCACTATCATGCAAAAGAGATAAAGGTGAAAAAAAGTATCTTCAGTATCTTGCTAATCATGACAGTTTCATTCCAACTTTGGATCGTGCCTCGGGGCACAGTGATACACTTTGTGGACGGAAATCCCGGTTTTACTTGGTGTTCCTGGTCATGGTGAGTTCTCTGGACAAGTTCTTCCGACCTCTGAGCACAGAGGACGGGCTATCTCGGTGACCCGGCTGATGAGGAGCGCGGGGTCAGCGTTGCATTTGTGTCGGTGCTGCCTGTTTGTGCTCGCCCTGTGAGTAACTCGGGCCCGCGGCTCCTTCCTGGGCGGGCGTGTCTACACCAGTATCTACACTAATGTCTACACTAGGATCCGGTCACGGACCCTGTGAGAGTTCGTGTGGCCGAAACTAAACACACAGGAATGTAAACCCACCTCCCGGGCAAAGGGGAAACCACAGCCTGCT